ACCTACTCTTTTCGAGAAACGCCCTGGGATTTTTAATGACCACAGCGAGTCAGGACCTCGGTTTTACGTCTCATCCGAAGGACGGCGCCTGTTTACAGTCTAGTGTCCCCGTCACTATACTGGGGCATGAGGACCCACACAGACCGCAGGGTGAGCGCCCCCTGCTGGCCCCACTGACACCTCTTCCAGCAGCAGCCTTAGTTTTTCCCAGGAGGTCTCCTATCCAGGTACTGGCCAGGCTCACACCTGCTGAGCTTCAGTGGGCTGCTAGTTGTGAGTTGCAGGGTGATATGGCTGCTGGCCAAAGTTACAAAAGACAACATGTTCTCTTAGGTTATATATATAATGTGTGACCCCATTAAGACCTGATTTTATTCTGTGAAAGAAAATAAAGCATTTTTTTTGTGTGGATATTAGCTGTTGTGTTTTTACTAATTACATTTCCATATGTAACCCATGTTAGCATACCGTAAATAGTTCACTACATAAAAACATAAGATAACTGTCAAACGAAAAGTGAAAACAGAACAGTCGATTGTTATTTTGGGCTACCTGTAAATTCCTTTGTCTTGACGACACACACAAAAAAAAGTTTGTGTGTGTTTTCTAACAATGCAGCTTTGAATTTTGAATTCGTTCCAAAAGCCCTGAAGGGCAGGCTGCCCATCTTTGGAGCTACTTCTGCTGTTCACCCAGAAAGAGAAATATTCTGATCAGCCACAACACCAGCAGCAACGGTCTTGGTTACACTAGATGGATCAGAAAGGGACAGAGTCACAAATATTTGTCACATTTAGTACGACTGTAAAATAAGCATTACTGTTTTCATCTCATGGGTTGCTGTCCTTTTTCCAGATTCACACAGAGCACGCCCCCCGGGACTTTTCAAGTGTTACTTAAGGACTTTGTAGCTTAGGAGCTGCCTAGAGGAATCTTCTGATAAGCACAGTAATTCCCGCTGGTCTTATTTGCGCCGATTCATCTTGGTAGTCATGTCGACCTCAGGGTGGAAATAAGGCAAACAGAAAGAACAGAGACATGGATCAGCAGCAAAAACGTTTTGTTTTTGGAAGGTTGTTAAAAAACGTACACGCACTGAGGAAGATCACTGAGGAAATCTTCAACTTACAGCTCTTCGAGAGACAGCTTAAAGACCCCCCCCCAGCCTGCACCTTGCTTGGAGAGATTACTTTCCAGAGAACCCACTCCCCACCTCAAAGTCTTACAAAGTATTGGAGCTTCTGCAGCATGATACAGTAGCTATAGAACGCATGTTTTCTGAGGTTTATATCCATTATTTGCTTTACTCGATTCCCGCTAAAGAGATATTTCCTAAGGCAGGTCTAGGGTTGACATCCATATTGGGTGATCTTCCAGCTATCCTGAGGTGACCTCTGACCTCTGACCTCTGCCCACCACAGGCTGAGTCACTGCTGTCTGGGTCTTACAGTTGTCCTTCATTTTCATCTGGCAAATCAGACATCTGTAGTTGAGTTTAACGCTCTGACTGCCCTGCTATCTCCCTACATGCTGTGAAGACCTCATTTGCAGTGCGGCTTATTTATCTCTTTTGTTTTACCCAAGCAAACTCACCTGGCTCTTTCGAGGAAGAAGAGAAGTTATCTGATCTGACAACGTGTCTGGGCTTTCCCATGATGAAAAGATAAATTTATTGTAAGATATCGCCGGTATGTAAGATTACTTCTTGTGACGTATCCTTGTTGAAGAACTTTAGCAAGGGCTTCAGGACATAAATTAATTCATCTTTACTAAGACGTGTTGCTGCAGCTACAGTTCAGATGAGACGAGCTCTGTTTCTTCGAAATCTTCTTTGATGAGTGGGAGGTGACTCCACAAGAGGATAACCTATCTGATGAAAATTGTGCTGTTTATTTTGGAAGACCTTACGAAGAGAAAATATCCCCCCCGTCTGGGAAGAGGATACGTCACTAAACCGTTCAGCCTACATTACTCATCCATCACAAGGCACTCACCCAGGCACGCAAACACTCACACCAGAAGCCAAATATCCTACCTGCATGTCTTTGGACTGTGAGAGGAAACCCCAATAAAACACAGGGAGAACATGTAGTTCAGGTGGGGAGCTGCGTCAGCATGCGTAGGCTGCAAAGGAACAAGTAATAGGTTTATTCCATGCTGAAAAAAAGAAGAAAGAAAACACAACATTTCGGCTGTGGAGCCTTCTTCAGGTGACACCTGTGGGCTGTGGAGCCCACAGAAGGCTGTGGAGCCTTCTTCAGGTGTCACCTGAAGAAGGCTCCACAGCCGAAGCGTTGTGTTCTCTTTCTTCTTTTTTTCAGCATGGAATAAACCTATTACTTGTTCCTTCACAGGGAGAACATGCAGACTCCCCACAGACAGTACCCCCAGTCTGGATTTGAACCTGGAGAAAAGCTGGGGTATGCGAAAAGACGCATTCCTAATGCAAGAAATTGTATAGGGCTAATAAAGAAACATTACATTACATTATTATACATTATTACCTAGGCCCCCAGCACTGCAAGGCAGCAATGCTGACTACTGCACCACCTTACTGCTCTGCCTTACTCGTTTGGTTTGTCATCACGTTACGATGCAAGACCCTCATCCTACAGGGATCCCTCAGTACCTCATTAATAGTGTGAACGACTGAAGCTTTTTTATTTTATTTTCTAGCTTCAGAATGTGATTAGCTATTTCACCAAGTCAGAGTTTAGCACGTGTTCATGGAGCGATAACACGCTACGTTTGGTACTTTGGGGCTTTGAGTCCAGTGGCTGCTTATCAGCGCCTGAACATTGTGTTCCTTCTCTTCTCTCCTCAGCAGGGTCCAATTCTGTTCAAGCACAAGATGTAGCAGAAGCAGCCAAGTTTCCCGAGCTGGAATGCCCATGTGTTAGACTGATTATCAAAAGCTTTTGAAGTATCAAAAGCTGATGCTCTATGAAGGCGAAGCTTTTCTTGAAGCTTGAACGATAAACGCAAACAAACTTCTAAAAGGGCGAATCAGATGCTGTCAAAAAGTCAGGACCGTAGCCAGATGAGTCATTTTCGGA